TTATGCTTCTCAAAGTGCTTTGTCTATGTACAACAGTTCACAGAACAACCACCGGGTCTCCAGTGCACAGAGTGGAAAAGCAGAGGGCTGTCTCAAGAATCCAAATGCCACCCTGACTGCTCTAAAAGGCACTCAGCTTCTACTGAAACTAATTTCAAAGTTATTAAAACATTCATGCTTAGATGAAGGGACACTGAAGAACAAAAGGATAAATAATTAGAGGAAAAAAATTTAAATATTAACTGGTCATGAATGTAAATAAATCCTAACACTTTTGTCTAGAAAACAACTAAATTTTCACAGAAGACAATGTGCAAAGACAGGTAGAGAATTGGGAAATTGTAAGTAGGAATCAACACAATTCAGCTATGGTTCAAATTCTGATTAGAGGGGTGGAAATTGATAAACATGATCACTAAAATCTGTTTGAAAAATCCATTTAAGATAAAAGTTAAGGCTAGAGATTAGCTCAGTGGCAGAGTACTTGCCCAACATGTGCAGGGTCCTGGATTCAATCCCCGGCACAAGAAAAGAGGTAAAATAAAGCATGTCAGTTCATGCTAGGAGAAGTTTTGGTTAAGATTTTTTTCCATTTCTGAAAAATGCTTAAATATATCTATATGCTTTTGAGGCCTTTTATTGTTACTTGAAAAGAGCTCCTGAAATATGACTAAGCAGGTGTTCATACTCCTACTGAATCTGATTTGGTGTACAACATGCCAAATCAACAACTCCAAGTTTTATCTTTAGAATCAAATAATTACTCTCAGAGCGCTTTGGCCAGTGCATTGGTCTCTACCACCGTGATTAACAATAAGATAACTGCAAACATGACCTCTCTCCTATATAGTCACAAATAAATATGATAATATTATCTAAATATGAGCAAAAAGCTTTTCCTCTTAAGAGAATGAGACTCATAAATGGGTAGTGGGATAAGAAAAGGAGAATTCAAAATGCACCAGTACCAGTTCAGCTGTTGCAATTTCAAGAGCCAGGAATGATCCAGACTGAACCTATTTTATTCTAAACCATCACCTCAGAAAAGTAATTATTTCACATCCGTTTGCCCTTGTCTGAAGTACATGTCTCAGGCATGAGTTAGCAAAAAGTTTTAGCAGACTGATATACCTAAGTCAACTAAAATTAGCGTTATTGTGGTGACTTCATAACTCTTTCTGATGTAAAAGAAACACCTTTTCAAAATAATCTCTGAGTGGTTATTTTGTCTGAACCATTAGTTCACTTAAAATAAGGAAACTAACAGGGAGAGGGGACACATATACATTCCAGAGTCAGATATAGCTTATGATAGTACAAATCTATCCACACAGCTGTGGCAAGAATTACGTGAGCTAATACATGCAAAGTGCCTGGAATAGTATCTGATGCATAGCAAACTCCCAGTAAATGTGAGTTACTATTTTACCATGTCACACTTTGACCTACTCTATGGTCTTTGAAAAGCAGAGAGGAGTGAACAGCAGAGAAAATAGAAAAACTCCCCTCCCTTTGTGCTTATATACCATCAACTACAGAAGTCCATCTCCTAATCTCTTGCAGGAAAAGGGTCCAGACTGAGCCATTTGGATTCTCTATATAGAACTAACCCTTACTGGTGTCAAGCATGAAAGGTTGATCAGAATTGCTTTGGGATCCTCCAAAACCAATCTGGTAAATCAACTGTTACATACCCTTAATGGATATGCAGATTACTGTGAATTAAAGTGCAGACTTAGAAAGGAAATCCTACTCACACCAGAAAGAAAAGCACATGAGTCACAAATTAGAGGCACAGGACAGGAGGTGAATGGCGTCAGATTGATCACTTCCAGGGCCATTAAAGAGGAGATGGTTCAGCCAAGCAGTCAACAGCAGCACCAATGTGACCAACAAGCAGAATATCAGCCTGGAAATAGCCCATGTTAGTCCTAACAGGAAGGAAGTAGGAACTTCTCGCTACCTTCTGACTTGACACATATGCCGGTTCAGCCTAGTCCTGGAGAACTCTGCTAAGATCTTCCACTGCCCCACCTTCCTTTTTTAATACTGTGTGAATTTTATCTCAATGATCTTGTGGGCTAGGGAGATAGCTCAGCAAGTAAAGCACTTCCTCTGCCAGCACAAGGACGTAAGTTTGATATCCAGCACCCAAGTAAAAAACCAGGTACAGTAGTGCGCACATACATAATGTATATCCAATGTTCAGAAGGCAGAGACAGGAGGATCGCAGGGTTTCATTAGACCCTGTGTCTGGCTGCAGTCTAGCCAAATTGGTGGACATCCAGTTCAGTGAAACACCCTGCCTCAAAAAATAACATGGAGAGTGACTCAGAAGACACCTGACATTGGTCTCTGGCCTCTACATGCATGTTCATATATATACATATACATACATACACATGAACATGTATACACACACACACAAATACTGTCTTGACAGATATACAAACCCACTAAGGTTTCTTTCTGCCCTAATTGTGTTTCTTTTCTGGTTGCTATGACAAAATGCCTGATAGAAACAACTTAAAGGTTCACAGTTTCAGAGGACTGTAGTTCATCATGGTGGGGAGGCATGGTGGGGGAGGCATGGCAGTACTCGTGGTGGAAATACTGTGTGGCAGAGATGCCTCTCATAGCACTTGACTAGGAGGCGGAGAGAACAGACTGGAACCTGAATTCAGACTGAACATCGGAATGAGTAGTGCTACATCTCATGCATCTTTCTATAAATGTAAAAGAAAACAACAAAGTTCATTTCAAGTCTCAAGTGGAATATGATGTCACTGTAAATTACTTGGATTTCCCCCAAGATCTTAGGAACAAGCTTTAGAAAGCTTTCTTAGTAAAGAAAGACCTTAAATATTGCAGTCAAAGTATATAAGAAGTAAGTACATGAGAGTAGTCTGCGATATACTGAGATCTGTTCAGAGCATCATCAGTACCCTATGCCATGGAGGCAAGTGTGAAGGATAAAGCACTGTCTGGATGGAGAATTTCAGTCACATGACCTGGACAAGTACTGGGCTACTGGGGGACTGTGCAAATGCACTGGCTACAACCCCTGTTTTCTCTGGGATATAAAAATTTGCTTTGCCACCAATCACATTTTCTATCTAACTATCTATCTATCTATCTATCTATCTATCTATCTATCTACCTACCTACCTACCTACCTACCTACCTATCTACCCACGGAACTGGAGTCTCTCAGTGCAGATGACCAAATCTAGGGCTTCCTTTATATCATGACAGGCAAGCACTCTGCTACTGAGCTACACTCTCAACCTCTACTGATATTTAAAGCGATCGTTGACCTTAAAATATAAATCGCTTCTTTCTGTAATGGATGATACTTACAACCAAAAGAGGGCAAAACAGAAGGAGAAAGAGGTTGAGGAAGACCAACTGAAAGAGTTAATATCATTTCTCTATGTGTATAGTTTTAGTTTAAGTGATAGTTTTTTCCAGTGAGCTACATGGTCAATTACATAGCTGTGCTTTCAAGACATGTACATAAGCCAAGTGCAGGGGCTTTAAGACAAGACTGAGATAAGCTGTATTTTAGAATTGGGGCATAGATAACATGTCATAAGATTTGTGAAATATTACCATGTATTAGATGCTTTTTGTTGTTGTTGTTAATTCCAAACTGATCGCTGTAAATAGCATATGTTGATTACTACAGGGTGTTCTGGTTTGTCTCTCCATTGCTGTGACAGAACACTCTGACCACAACCAACTTGGGGAGAAAAGGGGTTATTCAGCTTACATCTCCTGGGTCACACAGTTCAAGAGGGAGCCCAAGGTAGGAACTCAGGGCAGGAACCTGGAGGCAGGCAGTGTAGCACAGGCCATGGAGGAACAGGAATGTCGCGGGCTTGCTCCCCTGGCCCCTGCTCAGCCTGCTTTCTTATGCAACACAGGCCCACCTGCCCAGGGGTGGCACCACCCACAGTGGGCGGGGCCCTCCCACATCACACAATAATCAAGAAGATGCCCCACGGACATGGACACAGGCCAGTTCAATGGAAGCAATTCCCCAATTGAGGCTCTCTCAACCCAGGTGTGTCAAGTTGACACTAAAGCTATCCAGCACAAAGAGCTAAAGAACAAAGTGTTATTTTCTAGTCCTCTAACTTTGTAACACATAAGGTTCCAAAAACCTTCTCTTTGTACACTGCTTTTAATTATAATTCAACCCAAAAGGCTTGTCTATTTAGTCCAATTAGATAACACATCCTTTACTTTCTTCAACAATAACTTTATTTAATCAAAAAGAGGACCATCTTATATGTTGCAAATAAAATATTATCCATTATTTCTATACTGTTCAACTCTCTGCACGTCTATAGCAAATGCTGCAAAAATGAACACAGAATTTACCCCAACTGTTACAGATCTCAGAACACACTGAGCTATCTAAAGTAATAAATGCAAAGAACTTTCTATTTAGTTTCTGCAAACTGACTATCTCTCTCTCTATATATATGTATATGTATATGCATATATATATATATACACACCATAAGCCAGATTTTTATAACTTACCCACAGTAATACTGTTTATGACTGTACTAATACACTTGACATTGAAATGCCAGGATCTGTGTGTAACAGAGAGAATATGTGGCTAAATAACAAAAGTACTGGGCTGGAGAGATGGCTCAGCAGTTAAGAACACTGACTGTTCTTGCAGAAGACCCAGGTTCGAATCTCAACACCCAAATGGCAGCTAACAACTGTCTGTAACTCCAGTTCCTGGGTATCCAAAAGTCTCTTCTGTCCTCCACAGGCACTGCATGACAGCAGTGCACTTACACACATGCAGGCAATGCACACATACATATAAAATAATTTTAAAATTTTTTTAAAGGAAAATACTGTTTTCAAGTATTACATGTGCTTACCAAAGCATATTCAGTATTAAAGAAAACAACTTACATCACAGAAGATCAATTTAAAGCACAAACTGCAATAATAAAATGTGAATGTCCTACCTGTACATCTTTGTATTTGTCTCGTAAATCCAAGAGCCGGTGATAAGCTTTAATGGCTTCTGAGAACTCCCCAACATCAGTGCTGGTGAGGATGTAGTTTTCCCAAATTTGCCAGTGCTCATAGTTACATTTGAGAGCTTCTTGTAAAGTTCTAAAGGCTTTTGCTCTATTGAAGGTCAAATTTTGAAGAAAGCAAAATGAAGTCTTTTCAGTTAGGACAAATCACAGCTAAGTGTATACAGAATTCTGCTGTTAACTGTCACTCTTCATCATTCATGGCAATACACCACTAGGGATCAGATGCCTAAATAATATAAAAATCACCTCAAATTTCCCTTAAAATTCAGTATCAGATCCCTAAGGATACATAACATCCCTATGGAAATTCGTCTCCCCTAATTTACCTACCGGTATCAAGGACACTATTTTATAAGTAGAGGTCAATCTCTGTATCTCCCACCCACCTAGCAAATGCGACTGCAAACCCCTAAGATGAACAGTAGGAAGAGACAGTAGGTAAGACAGAAAACAGGAAGTTCCTCAGACTCTAAATGAATCCATAAAACAAATTCTGCAAACTGTGCAGAGGAAAAAACCGACACAAAGATGGACAACCAAGATTACACAAGACACGAACTTACTAAAAAGTTAACTTTAAGAAACAGTCTATCAAAGGTAGGAAATCATAAGAGAAAAACAAGAGATGTTGAGAAAGAGAGGGGAAGTGGGGGGGGGGCTCCTAAAAGAATGCATGTGACTTGAAAAGAACAGAAGCTACTAGGTAGGGGGAGGGATTAGCAGAAGGGGAGGAGCAACAAGAACAAATTTGGTTTGAAAAGTGCCATATGAAACCTAATTCTTTGTATGCTAATAAAAAATAAATTAACATATATGGCAGAATGCATGAAATCTGGCGGAGAGATACAGAGGGGTACAGATAGGGGAGAGGGTCCTGGTTTTTCTAGGTTTTTCTAGTGTTTCATACAAGGAATTATTTTTTCTCCCATGTTTAGAACGAAACAGATCCTGGAATAGAGTAAAATCACATTGAATTTACTACCAACTCTTTCAGAGGAATAACTATCAAAAAGAAAAAAAAAAAAAAAAACAGTAAGGAAATGTGAATAAAAATCAAATGAATAAATAATAAAAAGTAATTAAGCCTTTAAACAAATTTCAAATATTGACAAAACAATAATTTACACTAAAAAATAACAAAACCAGGTAGAAAACAAATCCAGGTTAAAAAAAAAAAAAAAAAAAAAACAGTAAGGAAATGTGAATAAAAATCAAATGGAAGCCGGGCATGGTGGCACAGGACTATAGTCCCAGCACTTAGGAGGCAAAGGCAGGCAGAGCTCTGTGAGTTCAAGGCCAGCCTGGTCTACATAGTGAGTTCCAGGACAGCTGAAGCTATAGGGAGACCATTTCAAAAAAAAAAAAAGACAAAAAAAAAAAATCAAATGGAAATTTTAGTGTTGAAGAAACATTAAAACAAAGCCTGGCATGATGGCACACGCCTTTAATCCCAGCACTTGGGAAGCAGAGGCCAGCCTGGTCTGCCTGGTCTACAAACCAAGTTCCAGGCCAGCTACAGGGAGACCCTGTCTCAAAAAGACCAAAAAAAAAAAAAAAAAAAGAAGAAAGAAACATTAAACCAAACATAATTCAACAAGTGACTAAAACTAGACTGCATATATTTTAAGAGAAAAATGGTGGGCTGGAAAAAAATAGTGAAGACTACACCCAGAATTCAGGTTTAAAAATAAATGAACAGTGTGGAAACAGGAAAAAGTAAGCCTCAGATACACACTGGTAGATAATCCAGAGTAAATGAATACAGGAAAATGGCAGGATGCTATGTATCAAACAGATGACAGCATTTTCCAGAACTGAGTCAAGATCCTAATTCTTTAATCAAAAGAGTATGCTTCACATTCCAAGCAATACAGACATATAATGAGAAAACAGGATATGAAGATACCCTAAAACTTACAAAGCAGTAACAATCAGAGAACAGAGGGTATTTCATTAGGAACAGATGATAGAAAGCAATAGAATACTTAATAACTGTCAGCCTCAAGTTTTATAACCAGCTAAGCTTGCCACATAAAAAGAAAGGGCTGGAGAGATGGCTTAGTCGTTAAGATCATGGCTGCTCTTGCAGAGGACCTAGGATCAGTTCTCAGCACCCACAGGGCAACTACCACCTGTCCTTAACTCCAGTTCCAGGGAATCTGATGCCCTCTTCTGGACTCTGTGGGCATTGCATGCATGTTGTGCACTTACATGCAGGCAAAACACTCATACGTATAAAAATAAAATATTTATTTAAAAAGAACCTTACTATGCACATAGTAATATTATCTGGGCTCCTAGAAGAAAACTAACAAGATCACTCTACAACCATGATCACTCTACAACCATGACAGGGATTTCCTCACCCACCGCTCTAAATCAATGTGGTTTCCAGAAAGTTTGAACACAATCTACTATAATCAAGAACATATTTTTAAGAGACTGGTAGAACAAAACAGTACTTTATTTATGTAGGTTGTCATCCAAGAACAGAGGAAGTGTTTCATATCTCAACGTGAAATGGTCTTAATGACATCTTCAGAAATATCTTGAGATTCCACAACAGCAAATTAAGTTTGAAAACAACACTAAATATAAATGAAAACATATCCACTCTTTGGTTAATTCATTAAAGCTCTGGCAGTAGTGATTTTTGTCTCTTCTCTTTCCTTTACTTTCATAGCCAGTCCTCAGACCACTTGGTTGTCCCCTTTAAAAACTGTTTGGCACCTGCCCTTCTTTTTCCACTCTAGTTATCTCACGCCTGGATTGTTACAACAGCTGTCTCCTAACTGGGTTCCAGCTTCCAGTTCCCTCTCTATTCTGCCTCCAGACAGATCTTCCCAAAGCTTCTTTCTTTATGAATCTCCCCACCTCTCCAGCTATTTCTAATAGGGCAGTCTCACTTGAAAGACAATTAGAATGCACAGTAAGCTGCTCCTCACCTACTTTTCCAGCCTTCTCTCTCGCTACAGAGCTCACATTATCCTATAGCTGGACTATTTTACTTCCATCTCCTAAATAATCTACTCATTTTTATCACTCTACATTATTTCCTTTGCCTAAAAGACTATCCTCTATCCCCTCTACGCAGCCTTCAAATTTAGCTTCAGCACAAGATAAACATCTCTGAACCAGGACCACAAACCCCCTCTCCTCTGAGATTCTCACAGCACAGATGAGCTTCTACACATAGCAAGCACTCAACAAACACCATTTACTTTATTACAGATACCTTTGTATTCTCACTTGATATTCACCACATATAGCTTGTATTGCTAATCAATTTTCAAAATAATATTGCAGATTATTTTATTTCTTAGATCTATGTCTCCAGAAGACATGGTTCATATTTATATTTTTCAAAAATGTCTAATACACAGAAAGTAATTAGTAAACAACTATCAGTTGAGTTGTCCACCTAAAGGCCCACCTGCTTTAACATGTAATGAACTTTAGGGTGAAAAACTTTAGCAGTGAATAAAGATTTCACAAGATATTTTTTATTATGCATTAAATGTTTTCAAGAAGTAAACTATACATTTGGAATAAAAAGGCTCTATTAAGTTATTCTAACTCATATACAAGGGTAAGAAAAAGAAAAAAAGTCAGACACAGACTTTCACATTCAGTTGAAGAAAATCTTACACTTTAAAAAAATTTTTTTTATTTATTATTTTTATTTCATGTGTATGAGTGTATTGCCTGCATGTGTGTAAGTGCATCCATGTTGTACAATGTCTGCAGAGGTCAGAAGAAAGTGTTAGATCCCCTGGACCTGCAGTAATGGACAGCTGTTAGCTGCCATGTGGATGCTAGAAATCAAACTGAGATTCTCTGAAAGAAGTCAGTGCTCTTAATCACTGAGCCATTTCTCCAGTCCCTTACTTTTTTTTTTTTTTTTAAATCAAGTTCTTCATATTCTTACTTACTTTCATGTACTTACTTTTTTTTTAATCGAATATAAGAAGTTGATAAATTGTTCCAAGCTTCAGCATTCTGAAACAATAGACAATCCAATTAGAGACTATTTTCATTAGGTAAGATAATTGCTAAAAACAAAAATAGAGCCCATTTTCCTGGTCTGATATGCACTCTTTAAAAAAAAAATCACAATTTTCAATAGTGTATCTGAAAGGAAAAAAAGTATAATTAATAAATTTTTATAATCTATGAAAAGCTAAAAAATATAAACCAATGATAAAACTATCATAGCACTGAATTAGAGTTTATTTTCAAATTTCAACATATAAAATAGTTGGAAAATTCACAATAATTTACATAATACGTAGATTTATTACAAATTCAAGTAAAATTAAGGCTAATAAGAATAAGATTCTAATAAGAATGAAATAATTTTGTTTTACTTTGTTTTCTTAAAAAATACAGTTCTCAAGTGCCAGTTAAAGGATTTAAAAATTAAGTGGTACTAGATAGACTTCCCCTTCCACATGTGGCAACATACCCAAGTAATCTTCTCAACATTAAATCTACAAAGTAGACAGAATAAACAACTATTTGGGGGAAGCTGCAGAGCAGACAGCACAGGGGTGTGATCCCACAGAGAAGGGAAACACCAAGGAGTCTCAGCCTTCTGTTCAGGAGCAAGCTCAGGGATCCAACACAATAAGGCAGAAACCAATCACAGTATAACAAGTCCTGCTGAGATGAAGAAAAAGGATCAGAGTGCAGGGTTGAAAAGGCAGCTGGAATTTGCAGGGCTGGAGAGATGGCTCAGAAGTTAAGAACACTGGCTGTTCTTACAGAAGACCTGGGTTCAAATCCCAGCACCCACATGGCAACTAACAACTGTCCATAACTCCAGTTCCAGGGGATCTGACAGACTCTTCTGTCCTCCATGGGCATTGCATGATACAGGTGCACTTACCTACATGCAGGCAATACACTCATACATAAAATAAAAATTTTTTGATATAATGCATAGAGGGGAAAATATATCCAAAGGGTATATACAGAAAAATTATTTTTCTGTGTTCTACCAATGTACTACAAAATAAAATGTAAAAACCAGCAATATTTATAGCAGCATTTATAACGTGACCAAGCAATTTCATTTTCAAATTTTCATCTAAAAGAAATTAAGACCTATGTCTACACAAAGATCTGGAGTAAAATGTTCACAGCAGGTTTATTAACACTAGTCCAGTAAAAATGACAGAGGTGCCATGCCAGGCATGGTGGCACACACCTTTAATCCCAGCACTCCGGAGGCAGAGGCAGGCAGATTTCTGTGAGTCCAAGGCCAGCCTGGTCTACATAGTGAGTTCCAGGACAGCTGGAGCTACAGGGAGACACTGTCTCAAAAAGACCAAAAAAAAAAAAACAGAGGAATCCTTCAAGAGGATGAGGTATGCATACATTATACATGCCATATAGCCATAAAAATAAATGAACTGCTATTACAACAGCAAATACAAAATTCTGAATAAACACCAACTGAAAGAAATCAGAAAAAGACAAGTTCCCAGTATGTAAATTTATTTATATGAACATATGAAACACCAAAGCTAATGTATAGAGGAAAACATAAGAACAGCAGCCACGAAGGGACATGAGCCAAGGAGCTCATGGTAATGAGGGAAGCATGTAAGAGAGCTCGTGATAATGGGGAGGACATGAGGGAGCTCGTGATGATGGGGAGGACATGAGGGAGCTTGTGATGATGGGGAGGACATGAGGGAGCTCGTGATGATGGGGAGGACATGAGGGAGCTCATGATAAGGGAAGGATAAGAGGGAGATGAAAACTGGATTCAAAAAAAATTCAGTAATTAAGACTTCACAGTGACGAGTATTTTTAATAACCATGGAGTTAGCTGGGTGTGGTGGCACATGCCTTGAATCCCAGCACTTAGGAGGCAGAAGCAGGTGGATCTCTGTGAGTTCAAGGCTAGCCTGATACACATAGTGAGTTCCAGGCTAGCTGGGGCTACAGGGAGACCTTCTCTCAAAAATCAAATAAAAAAAGAAAAAAAATAAGGAGATGCTGTGTGTGGTGGCACAAGCTTTAATACCAGCACTGGAGAGAGAGACAGAAGGATCTCTGTGAGAATGAGGCCAGCCTAGTCTACATAGTGAATTCCAGGCCAGCTGGGGCTTGGGAGAGACAGTGCCTCAACAAAACTAAAAAGTTAAAAAAATAATAATTTTCTGAAATCAGGAGTCCATTAAACAAATATCTATTATCAATATGATCTCCATCCTTTTCTTTAGACCCAAAGAAGTTACTTTAGTAATTTAGACATTTATAAACACTAACTGTAGGGGCTGAGTAGGGGTTCAATGGGTAAAGTACTTGCTGCACCAGCATGAGGACCTAGTTCAGATCTGCAGCACTCATGTAAAAAGTCACCTGTGGCCTCTACTCCCAGCAATGGAAGGCAGAAAGAGGGTGCTCTCTGGAGCTGATTAGCCAGTCAGCCTAGCTGATCAGTAAGCTCCAGGTTCAATGAGAGACCATGTCTCAAACAAAAATAAAGTGGAAACTGATTGAGGAAAGCACCTGATACCTATCAACTTCTGGCTGCCACATAGTCACACACGGTAACTTATGATAGGTAAGAAAGCTGGAGAACAGAGAGTGCAGTGTGAATGGTTTCAAACACACATAACAAGACCTTCTGTCACAATCTTTAATTTTTGTTCCTAATTTTCAAGAAAGGTGTATGGTGGAATACAGACATTCATACTATAGGGAATGAAATAACAAGGATTAAGGCCAGATGCACAAGGGCCTAGGTTCAGTTCCTAGTGAGGTAAGATTAGGGCTAAGGATATACCTCAGTCACAGAGCACTTGAATAACATGTTTGGAGGAAGGGAAGAAGGGAAAAGAAAAGAAAGAAAATGAAGGAAGGAGGCTGGCAACATGGTTCTGTGGATAGGGGCACTTGCTGCTAAGCCTGACAACCTGAGTTCAACTGCTAGGACTCACGTGGTGGAAAGACAGAACTGACTCCCACAGGTTGTCCTCTGACTTCCTCACATACCGCGGCATGCTATTTTTGTTTTTGTTTTTTGAGACACGGTCTCACTACGTAGTCCTGGCTAGCCTGGAACTCACAATGCAGTAAGGCTGGCCTCAATCTCACAGAGACTGCATCCTGAGTTCTGGGATTAAAGGTATGCACCACTGTGCCTGGTTTAAATAAAATTCTTAAATAAATAAAATTCTTTTTTTTTTTTAAAGGAGGAAAGAAAGTAGTGTTCCACACTCGTGAATTAAAAGACTTAATATTAAAGAAGCGGGCTGGAAAAGAAACAATAAAAAAAGTGAAGAGAAAACCCACAGAATGGGAAATAATCTTCACCAGAGACACATCTGACAGAGGTTTAACATCCAGAATATATAAAGAACTCAAAAAACAAAGA